CTCGCTCGGCCGGGGAGCCGCGGACCGGGGATGCTGGGGTCCTCCCCAAATGTGGCAGTTCATCGCCAGAAAAACCACACATTTCCACCCTGTCTCTGCATCTTCTGCATCTCCTTTCCTTCTGCTGGAAAGCGGCCAGCAAGATCGAGGGAAATAAAACCATCTCTCCCCCTCTCCCAGTTTCTTGGGTTGATCCAGAGCCCGTTTCCTCTGTGTAGTGACAGATCCTAATTTCAGAAAGTTTTGGGAAGGAGGTGCAGCATAGGCGTCCGAAAAGGAACTGCATCTTCAAAGCCAGAGGCTGTTTTTTTGCTGTTTTGGGGAAATCCATAGCTGGTTTAACTAGCAGACCCCTCCTGACTTCAGAAAGGCTTTGCTGGTCTCCACATACTGCTTAATCTAACACCCCCATGCGTGGAAAGGATTTCAGCATCAACACTTGCTGCGCTCCAGTGCTCTGAGGGGTTGAGACATTTGTTTACTGGAGCATTAGGCTTGAAAAATGTAAGAGACATGGAAGGAGAGACAGAAAGAGCAAGACACCAATCTCCATAGTCCCTTTGCTGCTAGGCTTGCATGCCATAGCTTCTCAATCTTTTATTTTGAACATGAATTTCAGGTGGGTTTAATCAGCAACCAATTAGAATTTAAAGCTGCATGTGTACTAAAGCCTTTGAGATGTTCCCACAGTTAAAGGGAACATCCAACTTAAATGGAAACAAGTCAGAAACATTTCTCCCACTAAAAGTGGGCGAGGGTACATGCAGTTAGATTTAAGCCCAGAGCCTGTAGATGTTTGGACATGTTTCTCCAAGTTCCCCCTGGATTGGTCCAGTAAACAAAAATCCACCCCACACAGAAGCACTGGACTCCCTCTGCATGTTGTCTTGATACCTAACCCTCATCTTGAGATGGTGGGGGCTCTGTTTCTCATGTACGTGCTTTGTAGATTTTGTCAGTGGCAGCCCAGTGTACTTAACCCAAATTCTCTACTCTCTAAGGAGCCGTGAGCCATCTGATTTGAGAACAATGTGGCTGAAATGCATTATTTCCAATCATCTTCCTTTTAGGATTAAACTGATGCTCATTATTAACATGATATGGCTAAAAAGAGAGGATTATTTCCTAGCCATGCCTTTGGAGATTATAGTTTAAACAATTCTCAACACATTTTACAGTCTTGCTATTATCCAGGCTATACCTTATCCTGTTACCCACGTAAGAAGTAGGCAGACATGCATGCACAGTATGTGAAGTTCACCTGGGGGCTTTTCCTCATGTTTGTTTTTTTTAATTTCACTTGTGAATTAATTTAAAAGTAAAAAGGAGCCAGCTGTTGGGGAAAAAAAAAAACAACAAAACCCACCATACTGTTCCTTCTCAGGGGATCTAGCGACAAAAGTAGATTTGCTAAGATAGGAGGGTTGTATAATGGCTTCGCTCCGTTCCTCTGAGCACAGGGAAGCAGCACACAACGTGATGCAGGGCCCTGGACCTGGGAAGGCTCCAGAGTGAATAAGCAAAGCAGCTGCAAGTCAGGTTTGAAGTGCATTAATGGAAACCATTGCACAGCGTGTGAGCGGGCATTCTCACGTCGTAAGCTGTGCAGAGGTTTAAAAAAAGACAAATAATGGAAGACCTGTGAAAGAAAGGGCAGTGGTAATGTGGAGAGTGACGCGCAAAGGTCTTGCTGGTCGGAAATCTGGAGCCCTGGTCTTTCGCAGTGGATTCAAGCTGCTTTAGAGCAGGTCTTTGCATCTCTTTGCGTTCATTTTCTGTCTTTAAATTAAACAGAGCAATGATGCACTTGCTCGAGCTGGCAAATCACTTGTAATAAATCATTCAACGTATTTCACTCCTCTTCCTGTTTGGCAAACTGTCTAAAGCAAATCGGGATTTTTTGGGGAAGCCATTAGTCCTCCAGGAGGTTTTATTTGTTGACTGATTGAAAGCCAGTCCCAGAACAGAGCGATTGTAACCATTTATAGACTAAGAGCTCAGTGTGAGCAATGGTTCTGCTTGGATCATTGCAGGAGAACATTCGTCCCTGGACTGGAATAAGCTTCCCAGGATGAATATTGGAGCGTATTAATTTAACATCTCTCTTTTTGCAAAAGTCCCTCTATTTGCTTTAAATATTTAAGTTTTAATGGACATTTCCAAGTGAAACTAGATTGTGTGTGAACAGTCAGGTTTCCTTATAAAAAGAAAAATAACTATTCAAACAACACTTGGCATATTTGATTCTTGCTCATACTACTTAACTTGTACCACTTAAGCTTCACAACAAGTAATTACTGATATTCTTCTAGTAATTACAGATTGCTCAGCACAGCACATAATGATGAGCAGGAAGAGCAATAAGTGAGATGTTCTGCAGGGTGTCACCATGTGTCACCACGATCAGTACGGTCAGGCACTGCACATCTCACCTCGTGCCATCGAGATGTGAGCTCTGTGTGGCATCTGATGCTTCATTCTTTAGAACAGGCTATTTCCCAGCTTTGTTTATCACTATCCTTGCAGCTGCTTAAATCAGCCTGTGAATCTGGTTTCTTATATATTCTTCATTGCCAAGCTTGCTTGTTACTTCTGTCAGTCAGGGACGTCTGGTTTGAATATTGGCATCAGCATGGGGTCTGGTAGCAGGAAATAAGTCCATTATAGCCACATTATTTAGGTCTAGTTAACACTTTAACTGGCAGACATCCTCCAAACCACACTGCAGCCAATTTTAGTTTTTTTTCCACATAAATTAAACACCTCTTAAAGCCATCCCCATGTAAGTAAATTCATGTTTTCATGCCACTTCAGCTGGAGGAGGTTTTAAAAGCTACTTCTTGTGGCAGCGACAGATAAGAAAGCTCCGAGGCAGAACGAGATGCTTCCTCTGTTCGCTGGTGGGTTGGTGGGTTTGGCTTCTTCACAGCCTTGCTGTTGGCTCTGGGGCCAGCTCCCCCAAAACAGAACCCTGCTGAGTGTCCCACCCCACCAGGCTCTGCCCTGTGTGCCGTTAGCACCATACACTCTCAGCCCCGTCTTTCAAAAAGGTCTTAATTTTAATGGCCAGGTGGCTGTGCAAATAAATTTTCCTTTATTGCTTCTTGCTTTCTTACCTTTGTACCTCTTTTCTGGAGAGGTCCTTAGTGGACCTGGGGAAAGAGGGGAAGTTGAAAGAAATACAATCCTGGTGCACCATCAGTTCCAGCACACAGAGTTAGGCAACTCCTCGACCTAAAATCTCAGGATTTTAATTGAGCCTGGATTGGGCACACATGCGAGGGGAGCCTGGGTGTGGGCAGCTCTCTGCCACCCTGTAACACGGGAGAGAAAGCAGCGTGTTGTCCCGCTGGCATGGCACAGTCTGTGCTCGGATGGCTCAACTGCAAAATGTCCCCTAAGTTATGGCGAGTGCCTCGGTAGATAGTGTCTGACACATGCTAATGTTTTATTTGCGTGGACAGCTGGTGTGAACCCATTTATTAAAACACATGGCAGCAGGCCCTGAGCCTCCATAAACTGTCACAGCTCCATCAGCTCCAAGTTGCTCATTTGATAGGGCAACTCCTTGGGAAGCTGGGAACTCAGCTGGGAACTCAACTGGGAACTTCTCTGGACCTCCTCACAGATTTGGGTGGACAGCTGCTCCAGTTCTGCTCTGCATCAGCCCACCCTTGCGTGGCTGCAGCTCGCCTATCCCTCCAGATCCCTTGCTTATTATGTTTTATGAAGTCTGCTCATAGTTCAGATGATTTGTAGAGTAAATAACTGTACGTGAAACAACCGCTTGCCCAAGGAGGTCCTCTGCTTTATTTCTTCCTACATTTTTTCTTGTGATGCCTTCGAAGGAATGTGCCAAAGAGCCTCGGGTCTGAAGGAGACGACAAAGAAGGACCAGGCGTTGGAGCTGGGAGACACAAGGCGCAGCCTGGCCTCTCGGCATCCGTTACCACACTCTCTACACACTCTTCCAAGAACATCTATTCAATTCCCATTTGTCTGAGAGGCCCGCAAAGTTAACTCATGCACGATGTTGCAAACACTCCTTTACACTTTCCTCTGGTGAGGAGCACCTCGGTGGGTTGGTGCGATGAGCTTTCTGCCACGACGGCACACGGTCGGTGCTGTGGACGGCAGGGCTCTGCCCACCGGCACATCTGTGGTGCCGTGTAAATAAATATGACAAGCATCTCTCCATAGTACACAAAAATAGCAACCCATAAAACCTAACGGCTGAATTCTCTCCAGGTTTGCTGGAAAATCATATCCAGGATTGGTCAATGGCTTCAGTTCAGGAATCCTGCATTTATACTGATGTTGACTAGAGGAACTGAAGTTGGTTTCTTTTCCTTAGAACACAGCCAAATTCCTACTATGGCTTTTAATAACAGTACTGTTTTAAATCACTCACAGCTCCATGCAGTGATAATTCCACCCATTGGGCCTGGCTGATAAAACTATTTTGGCTGCACACACAGGATCTCTGCCCACCAGAGAAGCCCACGCCGGGGTGCCGCTAACCCCTCCGGCGGCACAACAAA